GGCGCGGCGGGGGGGGGAGGGGTCGGTGTCATCCAGCTGCGACAGCGACAGCGACAGGGACATGGGGACAGGGGGACAGGGACATGGGAACAACGTCCCTAAATGTCCCCAAATGTCCCCAACAATCCCATTGCCCACAGTGTCCCCAAATGTCCCCAATGTCCCAAAATGTCCCCAAATGTCCCCAATGTCCCAACATCCCCAAATGTCCCCAAATGCCCCCAATGTCCCCAAATGTCCCCAAATGCCCCCAGTGTCCCTGCTGTCCCAATCCCCCAGTGTCCCCAATGTCCCCAGATGTCCCAAATGTCCCCAACATTCCCAAATGTTCCCAACACCCCCAGTATCCCCAGTATCCCCAATGTCCCCTGAGTGTCCCCAGATGTCCCCAAAGTCCCCTGAGTGTCCCCGATATCCCCTGGGTGTCCCCGATGTCCCCAATGTCCCCTGGGTGTCCCCAAGGTCCCCTGCGTGTCCTCTGGGTGTCCCCAGTGTCCCCAATGTCCCCTGGGTGTCCCCGATGTCCCCAGTGGTCCCCAAGGTCCCCTGAGTGTCTCCAAGGTCCCCTGGGTGTCCCCTGAGTGTCCCCGATGTCCCCAAAGTCCCCTGAGTGTCCCCGATGTCCCCTGGGTGTCCCCGATGTCCCCTGGGTGTCCCCAGTGTCCCCAATGTCCCCTGGGTGTCCCCGATGTCCCCTGAGTATCCCCAATGTCTCCAATGTCCCCTGGGTGTCCCCTGAGTGTCCCTGATGTCCCCTGAGTGTTCCTGATGTCCCCTGGGTGTCCTCAATGTCCCCGATGTCCCCAGTGTCCCCAATGTCCCCTGAGTGTCCCCGAAGTCTCCTGGGTGTCCCCAATGTCCCCAAATGTCCCCTGAGTGTCCCCGATGTCCCGTGAGCGTCCCCGATGTCCCCAAATGTCCCCAATGTCCCCAAATGTCCCCAATGTCCCTGATGTCCCATGAGTGTCCCTGATGTCCCCTGAGTGTCCCCAATGTCCCCGATGTCCCCTGAGTGCCCCCCAAATGTCCCCGATGTCCCCAAATGTCCCCAGTGTCCCCGTACCTTACAGAAGAAGCCGACGCTGGCGCGGGTCCCCCCGCTGCCCCCCTCAGTGGGGGACCCCTCCAGCGAGTCCCCTTCTCCTTCCTCCTCCTCCTCCTCGTCCTCCTCCTCCTCGTCCTCCTCGTCCTCGTCCCGGTGTCCCCCGGCTGTCCCCTTGTCCCCAGGGGACAGGGACACGTCGCTGGTGCCATCCCCGCAGGCCCTGGCACGCAGGGTCCCCTTGCCGGGCACCGGGGGGGACTCGGGGGGCACCGGGGCGGGCGGGGGTCTCTGAAAGGGGAGGGGAGGAGGGACACTCAGAATGGCACCAAAGTGGCTCCAAAGTGGCACTAAAGTGGCACCAGAGTGGCACCAAAGTGGCACCAAAGTGGCACCAAAGTGGCTCCAAAGTGGCACCAAAGTGGCAGCAAAATGTCGCTAAAGTGGCACCAAAGGGGCTCCAAAGTGGCACCAAAGTGGCAGCAAAGTGGCACCAAAGTGGCTCCAAAGTGGCACTAAAGTGGCTCCAAAGTGGCACCAAAGTGGCACCAGAGTGGCACTAAGGTGGCACCAAGGGTTCATGGAAGGCTCTCGTGGAAAATGTGAGCGGGGATTGGGGAGAGATCGGCTGGGATTGGAGTCAAGATGGGGAAATTTGAGGTGAATTTGAGTGAAATCAGCCAAATGTGAGTGAAATTGGCTCAAATCTGCCCAAATCTGACAGAAATAGTCCAAACCCTACTGAAATCTCCCCAAATCCCACCAAAATCAGCCCAAATCTGACCCAAATTCCCCCAAATCTGACCCGAATTCCCCCAAATTCTCCCAAATATGACCCAAATCTCCCCAAATCTGACCCAAATCTCCCCAAATCTCACCTCCTCGTCCTCGTCCCGCTCCTCCTGGCCGTCGGCGAAGCGCAGCGAGCTGCGGGTCTGACTCTGACCCAAATCTGACCCGAATTTCCCCAAATTCCCCCAAATCTGACCCGAATTTCCCCAAATCTGACCCGAATTTCCCCAAATTTCCCCAAATCTCACCTCCTCCTCCTCATCCCGCTCCTCCTGGCTGCCGGCGAAGCGCAGCGAGCTGCGGGTCTGAATCTGACCTGAATTTACCCAAATCTGACCCCAAAATTGACCCGAATTTCCATAAATTTCCCCAAATCTGACCTGAATTTCCCCAAATTTCTCAAAATCTGACCCGAATTTCCCCAAACCTGACCCGAATCTCCCCAAATCTGACCCGAATTTCCCCCAAATCTCCCCAAATCTCACCTCCTCGTCCTCGTCCCGCTCCTTGACCCAAATTTCCCCAAATCTGACCCGAATTTCCCCAAATTTCTCAAAATCTGACCCGAATTTCCCCAAACCTGACCCGAATCTCCCCAAATCTGACCCGAATTTCCCCCAAATCTCCCCAAATCTCACCTCCTCGTCCTCGTCCCGCTCCTCCTGGCCGTCGGCGAAGCGCAGCGAGCTGCGGGTCTGCACGGGCACCTGGCTGGGCGAGAAGCGCCGCAGGTGCGGCAGCGTGTCCACGTCGTGGGGAGGGGTCAGCACCCGCGTCAGGGGCGGCAGCCGCAGCTCCGCGGGCCGGGGTCTCCTCGGGCTGCGGGGAGGGGGCTTCCGAGACCCCCCAGTCGCGACTCCGCCCGCTGATATCGCGACAGAAGCGGCGGCTCCTCCTCCCGCTGGTGCTGGTGTGGAATTTCCCGCGTTGTTGTTGTTGCTTCCTCCTCCTCCTCCTCCTCCTCCTCTGCGGGCGGGCGCTGGAGAGCCCGGGGTGTTTTTTGGGGGTGCCGAGGGGGTCTTGGCGGATTTGGGGAGGGGGATCACCCAAGCTTGGGGGGCTCCGTGGGGTCTCTGCTCCAGCAGGAGCCGCTCCTGTTGCTGCGTCAAGCGTTGCATGTCCAGCTGCAGCGAGCTCAGCGCCGCGCTCAGCCTGGCCACGGCTGCTTCGTACTGCCCGGGAGGGGCTTGAGGAGGTTTTTGAGAAGCCCCCAGACTCAATTCCTCCTCGGGAGGGGCGGGAGAAGCCCCCTCCTCATCGTGGCGGAGGCGCTGCAAAGCGTTTTGCCCCAGGCGCTGGCGGTGCTTGGCGAAAATGGCCTCGATTCGTTTTTTTTGAGCCTCGATGGCGCGGCGTTTCTCCTCCAAACGAGCTCCCAGCTGCGACATCTCGGCGCTGAGACCCCCGCCCGCTTCTGGGGGACCCCCAGGAGTGGTGGAGACCCCCCCCAAATTAACGCCGAGACCCCCAGGAGGATTTGCTGGGGCGCCACTGGTGGCTTCCTCCAGTTTCTTTTTACGCTCGGCAAAGCTGGTCATGGGGCGGGTTGGATTTTGGAGAGGATTTTGGGGAGGATTTTGGGGGGTCCCAGGAGGATTTTGAGAATTCCCAGAAAGATTTGAAGAGTTCCCAGAAAGATTTTGGGGGTTCCCAAGAGGATTTTGAGGAGGGGGAGGCTCCGGGGAGTGGAGGAAAAAAGCGTCGGGGGCTCCGTCGGGGAGGAGGCGCTCGGAGCTGTGGATGATCTGCAGAGCCTCCTCAATGCTGGGGGGCTCGGGGGGCTCGGCGACACCGTTGGGGACACCCGGGGGGGTGGCAGGGGTGGCCCTGCCCAAATGACCACCCCAGCTCTGAGACCACCCCCAAAAATCCCAATTTGCTCCCCCAGGATGCCCCAAAAACCCCAAAATCCCCCCCCAAATCCCTCCCCAGACCCCCCAGAACCCCAAATCCTCCCCTCTGGGACCCCTCCCCAAAATTTTGGGGTCCCCCCCAGATTTGGGGGGGGTCTTACCTGGGGGTTGCCCCCCCCCTGCCAACAGGGGGTGCCTGAAGTTGAAGCCAGGGGAGCTGTGGGGGGGTCACAGGGGGTTAAGGAACCCCAAAAATCCCAAAAATTCACCCAAAGAAACCCAAAATTTCACCCCCCAAAACCTGGAACCCACCCCAAACCCCAAAATCCCCCCCAAAATCTTCTCCCAAATCTCAAAGTTCCCTCTCAAAAATCCCAAAATCCCCCTGAAAAAAAAAAGCCCAAATCCCTCCCTAAAAAAACCCCAAATTCCCCCCAAAAGAACCCAAAATCTCACCTAAAAAACACCAAAATCCCTCCCTCAAAAAACCCCAAAATCCCCTTATAAAAAACCCAAATTTCCCTCAAAAAAAACCCAAAATCCCTCCTAAAAAACCCCAAAAATCCCCCAAAAGATCCCAAAATCCCCCCTCAAAAAACCCCAAAATCCCCTCAAAAAAACCCCAAAAGCTCCCTCAAAAAACCCCCAAATTTCCATCAAAAAAACCCCAAATTCCCCCCTAAAAAACCCCAAAAACCCTTCAAAAGAACCCAAAATTCCTCCCTCAAAAAAGCCCAAAATCCCCCC